AGTGTGTGTGTGGGGATGGGCCGGCTCTGGGGAACATATTTTCAAGCAGAGATAGCCGCCCCCGTTACGCCGCCGCCACAGGGGAGAGCAATGACGACCTTTCGGTGTACGGTCAAAGCCTCCCTTCAGAAACCCCTTTAACAGGGAACCCTGGTATCGCCGCTGCAAAGAGGAAGATGGACTAAAGGATTCCGCCCAAGGCCTGATACCGCCAGTTGTGACGTTTTGCTACGGGAAAGGCGAAACCTGCCAATGCAGGGAAATTCCTTTCCGGCCCTTTAACAGCGACCTTCACGTAGCAGCGCCCACATACCTGTGAAGAAAAGTTAACCTGCAAAACCTATGAAGAAAAGTTAACCTGCAAAATAAGACATTAACTGAGGGTGGGTAGGGTGGGAGAAGCTCTGGAGCCAAGTGAGGATTGCCAGGTAAGATCCTCCCTCTATTGTGTGGGCAGGTAATCCCTCCCCTACCTGGCCTGGTCTTCTTGGCAACGCTTCCCCCAGGCGGGATTGGACAACTGACTGGGGTAGGCAGAGACCTCCAGGTATCCCACCTGAGGGAAGGCAAAGCCATGCCTATGCTGATGGAGCCGCTCCAGATCCAGGGGCTGCGCGCGTCCACACAAAGGGCGCCCCCCGTTTTATGCAGGGAGCGGTCATTGTTCTAATACTGTTTTTTGTCAGTTTGTAATATGAGAAAATAAATTTTTTAAAAAAATAATATGAATTTTTCTGCACTTTTCTCCTAATATACAATTTTGGTATGCAATTTTGCCTACTACACACATTTTACAATTCCCTAATGCCATGCATTAGGGAATTGTATGCAATTTTCCCTAATGTTTTATTTTTATGCACACTTTCACTGAATATGTAGAGTTTTGGTGCATTTTCTTTTTTGGCTGGAGAACTGCATTGCAAATTTTGAAGGGCAGCTGCATTTCAGTACCTGATGGGGGTGTGTGTCTGCAAACTGCAAATGAGGTTTGTTTGCCTTAAAATGGGAAGTGAAACTGATGTCTTTCCTGTCAGTATCAGGGGAAATGGTCTCTGCAGCATGTTGGCAGTCCCAAGTTCAGTCTCCATCATTTCCAGGAAGTGTTCGGAAAGGCTCCTTTCTTAAACCCTAGGAAATGACCAGCAGTAAACATAGACAATACTGAGCTAGATGGACCAATTTTTTTACATAGGAAAAGGCGTAAGGCAACTTCATATCTGCCTATGACTGTCCATTAAATAATAAGGAATATAAAGAGTTACTGGATCCTTTCTTTTAACCATTTCCAACCCCGGTTATGAGTTCAGGAAGTTTGCCGAATTTCTTAATGAACCTTGCATTTTTTGGGATTCATCCTATTTAGTCCACCATTCTCATTCCATCTTGTTTCATCTCCCCTCAAAGAACTACAGTTCCCAGAGTGGTTTCACCATCAATCCGTCTTCCCAGGGAACTCTGGGAATTGCAGATTTGGGGGTGGGGAAAAGGGGTCTCTTCCTAACATTGGATGATATGATTTCTTTACCATTTATTGTATAGTATTGAGAATCTCTCTAAGCAGTATGCAAAAAAGAAGCAGCCACAGACAACTTAAGCAAAATGTTACAAAAATGCAGTTACGTATAACAATGTCACATTAATACAAAGTTACTGATACGTATAAGTAAATCAGTATCAATTCATTTTCTTTCTGACACACTCTCGCTCTCAGCCTTTGAGTTCTCACCCAGGGTCCAAACTTAGCTCACCCACAAAAGTCTCGCAACGAGAATGAAATATACTTGGAGTCGAGAGTGGATTTCATACTCTTTATTCAGCTCATAGTGGTGAGGAGGAAATGAAAGTTCCCCCAAAGTATCTGCTTTCTATACTTTATTTACACAATGGGCCCCACGTGATTGGCTAATTCCGGGATTCTCCTGTAGGCCAGTCAGGCTGTGGATTCACTTCCATCTGGAGCTGGATTGGGTGGCTCCTGCGGACCAATCATAATGCTGCATTGTTCTAGGACCAATCAGATTGCTGCATTCTGAATTCTATTGTTCTAGGACCAATCAGACTGCTGCATTTTGGATCCTATTGTTCTAGGACCAATCAGACTGCTGCATTTTGGATCCTATTCAACTCAGTACATAACAGAGAAGAGATCCTGGAAACAGCGGGCATCACCCTAGTCTCTCATGCCAGATTGCTTTTTATGAGCCGGCCCAGGGTGAATAGTACTGTGCTTCCTCTGGCTGCCCACAGCTGTGTCACAATCAGCTGCACTCTCTACATTCAGTTCCAGGTGTAGTGGGTTTGTTGATGCCCAGCATGCATAACAAACTCTCCTTCCCAGGGTTCTTTGAGAGAAGCCATGACCCTTTAAAGTGGCATGATATTGTTCCGAATGTCCAGATGGGATCTTAGTTGAATAGCTTCCTATGCTGTGATTACAACTTCTTTTACCTATGATCTTACTTGCTAACGGTAAGTCCTGGGAATCGAAAACCACCACTGATCTACTTCAAAGCACCCAGAGGTCTAGCAGAATATCCTGTCTCCTGTTTGCCTACCGTGACATATTAAGCACCTTTTCCTCATCAGCTAGCACTGCTTCCGACCCGAATATCCACAAGAACCAGGGAAGTGAAACCAGTTTGGCTAGTTTAAAAGAGGCCAACTGGCAAGTGTGTGTCACTCCAACCACGGGAGACGTAATGGAAACCTCACGCTGGGTAGCATAGTATGTCTTGCCGTCCTAGTTTTCCAATGTGCAAGTCATTTGTACATCTTCAGGGAGACAGGATTTGCCCCGGCGATGCTTATCGCACACGAGGGGGGTTATGTTACACTGTGTTCCCCATTCCCCAATGGCTTGCCATTGATTTGCTTTTCGTTTCTGACATTTGGGACGCACCGTTTTCCAGGCTGAGCATAAGCGAGGCCTTGTTGTGACTCGGGGGATTTATTTAGCAATGTCATCATCGTGCCTCTGAAGATCTAGAAATAGGGCTCTTGTTTGCTGGGGATGGAAAAATATGGCTAATCGGAGGGACGCTGCTTTTTCAGTCCACATCAAAAAGAGTGGAGGGGAAACAGGGAAGTAACTCAAGGTCACAAAGGATATAGTCACAGTTAACAGACCATAAAAAGGACCCTCACTGGATCAGACCAAAGGTCGATCTTCATATTCATTTAATAATGAGCGTATTCATTTGACAGCATGCATTTAATTTAATGCAGGGGCCAGTTGTAGTAATGTGATAATTGTAATAGTGATGCAATGTTCAATATTTTTTTTTACTCTTTAAAAAGTTTGCAAACAAAAATAAATAAGTATATAGGGCATCAAGATCCATAAAACGAGGTCCTACTCAATTGCTCACAGAAAATCCACATACGTACATGAATACAACCACAGCTCTTTCAATCTACATCTGCACACATTCACTAACACGTGCACACAGACACACTCTTCCTCAGTTACCCTAGCCCAACACTCCCCTGAGTGCATACATAGAAAGTCAGTATAATGGTACCTCGGGTTAAGAACTTAATTCGTTCTGGAGGTCTGCTCTTAACCTGAAACTGTTCTTAACCTGAAGCACCACTTTAGCTAATGGGGCCTCCTGTTGTTGCTGCGCTGCCGCTGCCTGATTTCTGTTCTCATCCTGAAGCAAAGTTCTTAAACCGAGGTACTATTTCTGGGTTAGTGGAGTCTGTAACCTGAAGCGTATGTAACCCGAGATACCACTGTACAGCAACCCCAGCAACCTTACACTATGAGGCTGAAGCCAAATTCACACTCGGACGCCCCCCCCTCCCCGCCCAGCATCAAGAGCACGTCATTCAAACAAATTCAAACTCTATCTCTCTTCTGGTTGTATTTACAAACCTTACCATATACTGTGGGAGGAATGTATTTGTAGTAATGGCTACTAGCCCTGTGGGCTATGTTCTGTCTCTGCGGTCAGAGGCAGGATGTCTCTGAATGCCAGTTGCTGGAAAGCTCAGGAGGGGAGAGAGCTGTTGCTCTCAACTCTTGCTTATGTGCTTCCCACCATCATGAATGAATGAATTTATTATTTCTGTCCAGTTCCAGCCCACATACAATATCAAGGAAGTCATAAAACATGATAGGGCTACATTTGAATTTGCAGTTGGGTATAACAGGGACAATACAGATATAGCAACAGTTAAAAATATATATAAATTAAAACTTCGTCACTAAAATATAACCTAAAATTATCATTTGAGGCCTTGATCATTATGATAGCACAACTTGTTCCCTAAGTTTTATGGCAATCACACAGAATTTGGCTACCCTTAACGTGATCTCAGGATCCTTGTCTTCTCCCAGGGTCCCACCATCATCTGTTTGGCCACTGTGAGAATAGGAGGCTGGATGAGATAGACCACTGGCCTGATCCAGCAGGACTCTGCTTATATCCTGTGGTGTAGTCTGAAGCTGAAAATGGAGAAATAAGTTGGAACTCCAGGGCAAATCGTTGGGAGCTGATACCTTTTCTGCTTCGGCAATGTGTACATTTGCACACTCAAACTTAATGGTTGTTCCAAATTTAGCCAAGCCCTCAGTGGAGGCATGTATTTAGGATGATCTTAAAGACTGATTTATTGCAGCCTGTATTTAGTCATTCTTAGGGAATTGCACTTTTTTATTTTTAAGGAGGGTCCCTCTACTGCTGCTGCCCTTTTATTTATTTTGAAGCTTTTAATTGAATGTTGTGTATTGTTTTTAATGGTCTGATGACCCATTCTGTATATTTAAAGTATGCTGTAATCTTCCCTGTGAAAAATAATCAGGAAAAAATCTATTAAACAAACAAAGAAGCAAACAAACTTGGGTACAGAGGGCTCATGATGGGAGACAAGGCTGACATCTTGTTCTCTCTGGCAAAGGATGAGCTGGGAAGCTGCCTTATACTGAGTCAGCCCAAGGGTCCATGGAGCTCAGTATTACCGGCACTCACTGGCTCTCCAGGGCACATTCCCAGTCCTTCCTGGAGATGCCTAGGATTGAACCTGCAACTTTCTGCATGCAAAGCAGATGCTCTACCACTGAGCCCTCTCCAAGATGGCATCCTCTCCCCTTTCCACATACAGAAGCCAGTGAGGTTGGAAACTGAATCATATGTCAACACTGGCAATGAAATGGCACCCTACGTCACACCTGAGCAACGAAGCTCCTTAAGGGGGGTGTCAAGAGCTATCTCCCCCAACAGGAATGGCAGGGGCGGGGGGGGGAGAGCTGAAAAAGAACAGATACATATCTGCCTCCTCACTCTTCCAAATGGCAGGGCCTGCCCTGCTGAAAGACCACATTTCCTTGATACCTTTGCTCCTCCAGCACCACCCTCACCCATCCAAAGGTTTCTTCAAGAAACACCACCTTGTATTGTCTTCCTTACAGTCACATGTTTTCTTGCTGGGCAGGCAGTGGCATCTGTTACTGCTGCTTCTCACCACTACTGCCTGGGTCAGAGAGAGACACATGGGAGAACAAGGAAGCAGGTTGCAGTGGTAAAGAGAAGCAGGTCCACCATGCTTGTGTCAGTGGGTCCTTTGCTAAGGTGTGAGGCCCCACCTGCACTGTAATTTAAAGCACTAGGTTATGGGGAAGGGGCTTCCACTCATGCAGCTAACTCTCTGGATCCAACTTGAGGTTCCCTCTGAAAGTTATGGGCCCATGTCTAGTTTCTCCTCTTCTCCTCCATAAACATGTCACAATGAAGTGTGGGATATCAAGTGCACTATTGTCACTGTGTGGAAACCAGTAAGATGGAGAAGGAATGAAGAAATATATGCCATGATACATTTCATCTATACGTCTTATGAGAGAGAGAGAGAAAAGGAGAAGCAGGAGGAACCAGGAAGGTCTATCTTCTTAGGGTTCTTTACATTTATGTTGGACTGGAAAGTGTTTCAAACAGGACTTACCTGAATATAGAGGAACACCCTCTGTAAAGTAGGACACATGGCCACCAAAGGCAAGGATCCCTCCTCCTCCTCCTCCTCCTCCTCCTCCTCCTCTTTAAGCTGCTTCCAGATGGAACAGAATCACCTTCATTGGAGGTTTTAAAATCCATTAGGGATTATTTAGCTGTGATTCCAGCACTTCAGGGGGTTGGACTAGATGACCCTTGGGGGATACCTTCCAACCCAGCCATTCTGTGATGCCCCTTCCTTCAGAAGCAAGATCCTGTCAGCCGAAAAACCACCACCCTTTTCTGGCTTTGAGCCATTAAAGATTAGAAGTGTTCCCCGCATCTTCCCAAAGCTAGAATGCAGAGCCCTTGGACCAAATGCTAACTTTACATTGACAAACATATTCAAAAGCTATACTGAGCTATATTTCTCTGAGCGACTTTTGTTTGATTTGTTTGGAAACCATAAGATTCAGGAGCTGTCTGGTTATTCAGCTATAAATTAACAAAGAGTACATGGCAGGAATGTTAAGGTTCCATTCCTCAATGATTTTAAGTAGAACTGGGGGTCTATCAACGCTACAGCAATACAAATTAATCACTTTTTTTTTTAAGGCAAGCAATTAAACCAAAGTAGGGAGACTGATAAATGTACAGGTGGAGAAAACTTAAAGCAATGCATATTCAGTAGCAAGGGCCTGATTAAGTAGATATAATGGAAGGAAGATTGTCAATGCATTTATTCCAGCAATTCTGTAGAGCAACTGCTTTTTCTGTTCTTTTTTTTAATAAAAAGAAAGTACCCAAAGAGTAAATATTTTTGATGCTTTGAAGGGCAGTCTTTAACCGTCTAAGATTTCACAAATGTAATTTCTATGTTATGCATTGTCCTCATGAAAAAAAAAATTGCTCAGGGAAAAACGAATTTAGCTGAAATCTATCAAGCTGGGGAGGCGAAATGAAGGATAGTTTAAATAGCAATGGATGGAATGTTTCACTTGGACACTTGATAGCCCATATGGTGAGGCAGTTAAAGTGCTGGGCTTGGAGTGCAGAGATCTGGGTTCGGATCCCCAGTAAACCATGAATTGGAATGGGAGAAAAATCTGATTCATGTTGCATTCAAAAGTCAGTTTGCCTGATCTGTACTTTCCAAAGCAATCTGAGCAGGCCTCCTCTTCTTCCTCTTCCTCTTTTTCCTCTTCTTCCTCCTCTTCCTTCAAGTGTATTTAAATTGTTCTCTCAAAATACCTATTTCAATATGCATTTTGATATGTTTTCATTGTTCAGGATTGCATCACAACAGTTGGAGAAGTGCACAATCTCAGTCCGTATCTGCATATCATTCTCGGGCAGAGATTCACAAAATTTTGAATTCCTGAAGCAACCCTACGTAGAAGCCCCTTCTCCCCGTTTTTTCCAGATGAGGAGGATGGAAATGCACTTCATAAGAGGGAACACCGACCACCAAGAACATGCTTGGCTATCACGCACAGTATATCTTTAATGCCACTTTGCTTGCCGGGTTGGTAATAATAATAAATAATAATAAATTTTATTTATATCCCGCCCTCCCCAGCCGAAGCCGGGCTCAGGGCAGCTAACAACAATAAAACAGTACAAAAGTACAGCATAAACAACAGTCTAAAATCATTCGTTATAAAATTAATTAATTCAAGCCACTGGCAACCATTGGGCCAGAGCTCCGCGAAGATTGCTGAGGGAGGGAGTCAGGCTGTGCCCTGGCCAAAGGCCTGGTGGAACAGCTCTGTCTTGCAGGCCCTGCAGAAAGATGTCAAGTCCCGAAGGGCCCTGGTCTCTTGTGACAGAGTGTTCCACCAGATCGGAGCCACAGCCGAAAAAGCCCTGGCTCTAGTTGAGGCCAGCCTAACTTCTCTGGGGCCTGGGACCTTCAAGATGTTTTTATTTGAAGACCGTAAGTTTCTCTGTGGGGCATACCAGGAGAGGCGGTCCCGTAGGTACGAGGGTCCTAGGCCGTATAGGGCTTTAAAGGTTAAAACCAGCACCTTAAACCTGATCCTGTACTCCACCGGGAGCCAGTGCAGCTGGTATAGCACCGGGTGAATGTGATCTCGCAGAAGACCTCGTAAGGAGTCTCGCTGCAGCATTCTGCACCCGCTGGAGTTTCTGGGTCAGTCTCAGGGGCAGCCCCACGTAGAGCGAGTTACAATAATCCAGTCTGGAGGTGACCGTCGCATGGATCACAGTGGCTAGGTCAGGGCGAGAGAGGTAAGGAGCCAACTGCTTAGCTTGGCGGAGATGGAAAAATGCCGCCTTTGTTATAGCTGCAATCTGCGCCTCCATGGAAAGGGAGGTGTCGAAGATTACACCCAAACTCTTAACGGACGGCGCTGGCACTAATTGCGCCCCCGCAAGAGATGGGAGTTGCCCCCCCCCAATCCCATATCGCCCCGTCCCAGCCACAGGACCTCTGTCTTCGAAGGATTTAGCTTCAACCGGCTCCCACGAAACCATCCAGCCACAGCTTCCAAACATCTAGTCAGTGTGTCTGGGGCCGAGTCAGGATGGCCATCCATCAACAGATAGAGTTGGGTGTCATCGGCATACTGATGGCAACCCAGCCCAAAACTCCGAACAAGCTGGGCGAGGGCACATAAAGATGTTGAAAAGCATCGGGGAGAGTATCGCACCCTGAGGTACTCCACACACCAAGGAGTGGCGCGATGACAATTCCCCCCCAAGCGCCACCCTCTGTCCCCGACCAGAGAGAAACGAGCGCAGCCATTGAAGGACTATGCCCTGGATCCCCACGTCGGCAAGGCGGTGGTCTAGAAGTTCGTGATCGACCATGTCGAAAGCTGCTGACAGATCTAGAAGAATCAGCAGCCCCGACCCGCCTCGATCCAGCTGTCTACGAAGATAATCTGGTAAACAAAGAATATTCATTAGTCAAGTGGCCTCTTTGACAAGGCCTTTGTGTTTACACTGATTGCTAAATTATGTATTCTGCTGATTTATTTATAGCTCTTGAGTCAGATGCTTAAACTGCAGCATACAGGAGAGGTCTCCAAAGATGCCAGCGAGAAAGCCAGCAGGCTGAGAAGGTCTTAAAGTCAACACTGTTTTTCCTGCCCTATTTCCCCCTCTCTTTTTGCTTCATCCTGCATTTATCACACAGAAAAGGCATCAGGGAATAGGTGCAGTTGATACCTCACATTTCTGAAGACTGTTCCCTATGAGTTGTGAACACGATGCAAAGTTTTGAAAGTTTGTTTTTGAATGGAGCAAGTTCTCATTCAAGTTCACTGTATTCAGTGTACCTCAATAGGAACGAATCCAATTTCACATTTGTCCCTTTGCAAAATGGACTGGTTCTGTTCACTGGTCAGCTCACAGTTCAATTAAAATTTATCCAACTGATCCTTGGCAATCCTGCCCCACTCCAGTGTTCAGAATGTTACAATCTGCTCTGCTGAAATATAAAATATAGTTAAGAAGACTAAGAAAACATCAAGACACTCACATGGTGGAATGTGCATGGTTCAGTTTATTTCCCCCAACAATTGTGATCTTTAAACTTAAAGGCCCAAAGATTCTAAAGCATTGTTACCAGATTTTTTTCAATGAATCCGGGGACACTTTTTTTTTAAGCTGAGTAGCAACAGGGAGTCAGTATTGGTGATGGTGAGGCAAAAATCCCTGGGCCCAAGCATACATGCATATTGTATAAAGGTGCAAAGCCCTTCTTTCACACCCTGTGAAACATAAATGCACAGAGTTTTAAAAAAACTGGGCAATGACTGCCTGCCCACAACTCCCAAGCCTCCCCCGATCAGTCAAAACAAAGGGGAAAGGGGGTAGGAAATCACACAAGACACATCATATGGGGACTTCTGGCGAGGAAAAATCGCAGGCGCCATGGCAGCGAGCAGCTCTGAAGCCAGCCAGAGCCAACTGAGCTACCAGGCTGGCTCTGGGCTGCTGAGGCTGCCGTTGCCATGTTTTCTGGGGACAGATTTGCAAATCTGGGGACATTCTGGGGATGGAATTTGTCCGGGGACAGATTTGCAAATCCGGGGATGTCTGGTAACCCTATTCTAAAGTGTAAAAAGCACACAGAATCATAGAACTGTAGGGGTGGAAGGAACCTCAAGGATCATCTAGTCCAGCCCTCTGCAGTGCAGCAATCACAGCTAAATAATCCCTGACCAATGGCCATCTAACCTCTGTTTAAAAACCTCCAACAAGGGAGAGTCCACCACCTTCCAAGACAGTCCATTCCACTGCTGAACAGCTCATACGATCAGAAAATTATTCCTAATGTTTAGTTAGAATCTCCTCCCTTGCCATTTGAATCCATTGGTTCAGGTCCTATCCTCTAGAGGAGAGGGACAGAGACCAGTGTTGCCTGCAGCACTGCTGAGCATCATTCAAGGCACCCCAGGGTGCCACGGCACACTGATTGAAAACCACTGCTCTAGAGCATCATAAAACAAGCTTGGTCCATCTTCCATGTGACAGCCCTTCAGGTATTTTGAAGATGCAAGAGAATTAACAAGCTAAGAATCATTCCATGTTGTTCTCCAAAATGATTTTAATTCATGTTAGCTCTGGATTCCTAGCCTTGGATTTGACAGGTACTTCACTAACGACTCGCTGTTCATCAATATGCACAAGACAGAGCTTTGCAAATTTAGGGAACCTCAGTTTATTTGCTTATTTAGTTAGTTTGGTTTTCAGATCTTGTAACTGAAATTGCTTCAGAGAAGCCTTCTCAATCTGGAGAGTTCTCCAGATATTGAGAGGCTGTGTGGTGCAGTAGTTCGGAGTCGGACTAGGACCAGAATAGACCAGGGTTCAAATCCCCACTAAGCCATCAAGCTTGCTGGGTGACCATGGGGGTGGTGGTCAATGCTCTCAGCCTAACCCACCTCACAGGGTTGTTGTGGCGATTAAACAAGGAGGGGGAAACCATATACACTCCTTGGAGAAGAAAGTGAGGCTATAAATGCAGTAATAATAAATAAATAATATTATTTAACCACAGCTCCCCTGACCATTGTCCATGCTGGTTGGAGCAGATTGGAATTGGAGTTCCATGAATGCCCTTCAGTAATTCTCAGAGACTTAGACACAGTCTTAGCCCATTCCTGCCCATCAGGAGCAGGAGGCTTTTAAGTTAAATGTAATTAACTCAAGGCAGCCCAAATAAATCATTTTTTAAGTACCATTGATTTCAGGAGCATACAAAGTTGCCTTATACCAAGGCAGACCACTGGTCCATCTACCTCAGCATTGACTGCACTGACAGGCAGCAGCTCTCCAGGGTTTCAGGCAAGGGGTTTCCCCCCAGCTCCACCTGGGGATTGAACCCAGGGCCTTGGGCATGCAAAGCGTATGCTTTACCACTGAGCTACAGCCCCTTCCCTGAGAGGTTGAGATTGAGATAAATGCCTGTCTCGTGCAGGACCAGACCTGCTAGCCTTTGATTGGATAGCACCCCATAGAGGAGGAATGCCATGTTATGCAAAATGCACATGGCGAGTTAAGTCTATGCCTTCCCTTCCCCCTAGCCACTTTGTCGAATCCAGAGTATGCTGATAAAACCAGAGTGTGTACTCTTCCTCATCTCTCTTGAAGGAGTGAAATGCTTATTAAGTGGTGGTGTATATGATGATCCCCTTCCCACCCCAAATCTTCCCTTTTACATGCCTATTTTAAGCAATTGATTATTGCCTGGCTAATAATAGGTGCTCCTTTTGTCAAAGAGCTGAATGAAGAAGAGAGCAGATATTGTGGTATATAATTGTTCCGTTGACTGCCATTGAATATTTCCCAGCTCCTACTGTATAAGAAAAATCTTCCGCCCGTGTTACTAGCTAATTTATCATGCAACGGTAATTAGGACTCTGGGCGTCCGGAAGACCCACCTGGGGTGCAGCTCTCTTGGCACCCTCGTCTTTCCCCCGCAGATCACATTCTCTGTCCCCGCTGCAAGAAATCAAAGGGGGTGTCAAGAAATGGAAGACAGAAGGCAACCAAAAATAAAATTTGAAATAAAAAGGATGGCATCATTTTCAAGCCAAGCCAATATCATTCTGGAGATTAGTTTTGAGGCAGGTCAGAATCTTGTTTTATTTTTTAATAGAAAGTCATTCACCTCCTCCCTTTGCACATACCCGCCCAATGTGTACTGGTTTACATAGGATTGTAGCCAATTGTTGTCTTACCCAGAGTAGACCCATTGAACATTATTGGAAATGATTAACCTAGGTTTATTAATTTAAGCGGATTTACTCTGAATATAAGTGCCTAGGATGCACTTTCTAAACCAGCATCCTGCAAGGAAACCTCAAGGGGGTATAAAGTGTACATCCGTATACTTTAAACATCAACATGTGTAACCCAAAGAAGACAATATAAAATTAAAAAATAAATAAAAGTGAATCCGTTTTAAACAGGGGTGTCACTCCAGATGTTAGCCTACAACTCCCATCAGTCCCAGACATCATAGCCAATGGGCAGGGATGATGGCAGCTGGAGTCCAGGTATGGTTCCCCACTCCTGATTTAAACCAATCAAGACAACTGGAGAAACCACAGCAATAATCCTAAATCACAAGGACCCTTTATTGGGGTCCAAGGATTACACACACATGAAAGTGGTGGATGGTTGGGGGAAGAACCCTGCGTGAGAGGCAGGGAAGGGAAGATCTCCCAGGGTGAGAGACTGAGAGAAGAAAAACCACCCCAGGTGAAAACTAGGAGAGTCCACCACTTTCTCTGGGTGACTGGGTGGATACTTCTTTCCTTTGATGGGGTTCCTACTTCATGCTAGCAGTTTGAGTTTCTTATTAAAATGAGTCTCAGTGTGGTGTAGTGGGTAAGAGCGGTAGATTTGTAATCTGGGGAACCGGGTTCATGTCTCCGCTCCTCCACATGCAGCTGCTGCGTGACCTTGGGCTAGTCACACTTCTCTGAAGTCTCTCAGCCCCACTCACCTCACAGAGTGTTTGTTGTGGGGGAGGAAGGGAAAGGAGAATGTTAGCCGCTTTGAGACTCCTTCGGGTAGTGATAAAGCAGGATATCAAATCCAAACACTTCTTCTTCTTCTTTGAGAGAGGAATCTGCATCTTCTTTTATCTTTCTTTCTCTACTTTTGTTTTTCTTTAGTTTCTTTTATCTTATTGTTTATTATAAAAAAACTTTAATAAAATCTTATGAAAAACAATATAGGAGAAACATATATGGCAGTCCATCCAATACCCTGGCTCCAAGCTGAACCTGCCATTTTATAATCATTAGTGCAATTCAAGAATAGAAAAATCATAAGTAAGTAAAATCACTAAATCTGTTGATAATAAGTGTGGGTGAAATTATGGCTGAGTGGGAACTGAGTTCCATGTATGATGGTCATGTCCTAAAGTTCATTCTTTTTGGATAAAGTTTTTCATAGAAATTGGTCAAATAACAAAGGTTTATATAGGTTACCCTATATCCTAAATTCATGATGATTCAACCCGGACACTAATACACAGGAATTTCATTTCATGTTTACTAGCAGACACAAAATTGACTCTTGCAAAAAGTTGTCAATCCTTGGAACTGAACTTGATGAAAGGCTGGTATGAACTCATGTGGCACTTGCTGTCATGGAGAAATTGATTAAGAGACAGAAACAGTCAACACACACCCATAACGTGTTTACAAAACTTGGTTTATTTCCATGCAGTATGTAACTACTCTTGAACAGAAATTTCACCTTTCTTTGAGTCATATTCATCTCTGGAATGACTCTTTTGGTAGCTTAGAATGTATACCCAGAACAGCCCCAATCTCTCTGTCCTCAACTGCTGGTTTATATTGTTGTTTTATTGCTGTAGATAAAATAATTTTTTCTTTCTTTCTAAAAACAGGAACGAAAGTTCATGCTCCCCCCAAACCCTTTAGCATTCTGTATTCAGAATGAGATATCTTTGTATCTTCCTTCTCCAGGATATTCTGAAAAAAAATCTTTGAGAAAGTTGGTCACACCTCCTTTGTCACCATTTGGACCTGTGTTGAACTGTTCATACAACCAGTTTGATAACTTCATTAACGTCCACCGAAGAAGGCAATTTTCTTTGACCTCTCCCAACCCAGAGAAAAACACACTTGAAATGGTTGTGTGAATTCTGTCCTAAAAGCATGGGAGACCAATAGGTCTCTTGATTTCTTTTTTTATCCCTAGACCCTTTTTAAGGGGGCATTCAACTTGAACCACTTCCACAGGCTCCATGCTGTTTGCACAACTGTTTCAACAAATGCCCTGATTTATTTTTAAAAAACATACAGATTCCTGGCAGTGCTTCTTTCAATTATCAGTGTCTTCTGCTATCTTCTTTGTCTTTTTATTCTTTTCTCAGTCAATTGTTCACCAAGTTATCCAAGCTGGGAGCTGCAGAGTTGCTTGGGTGGTGGTGATGGATGAATGGAGAAGAGACTCCCAATGCTTTCACAACAGAATCTCCCCTAAATGAGACTGAAAGGCAAAGCTTTTCATTCTTAAATAATAATGCCAAAAAGAAGAAGACGGACAAACACTCTCCACAGTAGAGATGGGAAAAAAATATTGTAAGCGGAATCCTGGGAAAGATTTGGGTGAAAGGAAATTCTTTCGCAGGACAACCCAGTCCAAACAGAAAATTAAAGAAAATATTGTCATGAGCTGGTGCATCCAAAGATCCTGTTTGTGGGTTTTATGTTTGTTTGTTTGTTTAAAAAAAATTACCTTTCTTTTCAGAAGTTACAGTGTCATAAGGTTTAGGAAATGGATGTCTACTTTTTTGGAGAGGAATGATCTTGGATAAATAGACAAATAGATAGCTCAACTCTGCTCATGCTTTGCATGGAGAAGATCCCAGGTACAATCCCTGGCATCTTCAGGTAGGGATGGGAATGGAACGCTTGTCTGAAACCTCAGAGAACCACTGTCATGCATTGTTAGTCAGGGGTAGACAATGTGGCACCACCCAGATGTTGTGGACTACAGTTCCCATCAGCCCTAGCTAGCATAGCCAATTGTCAGGGGTCTTTGGAGTTGTAGTCCTCAAGATCAAGAGAGCATCACACTGGCTTCTCTGGTGTCGATAATACTGAACTGCACGAAGCGATAATCTGACTCATCATGTTCCTATAGAGGGTTCTGTATTCTGTGGACTGATGCAGCATCCTCCTCCTCATGTTGAGCTCTTAGCTTCTCAGCCTTCCACTTGGAGCACTCAGTAGTACCATTAGCATTTTGAGTGCAGGCAAACCATGCCAACCTCCAATGCCATATAAAACGACATTTTGAACCATCTTTATTAAAAGTGCCATGAATGTTTGGATAGCTGCTGTCCACCTCCTTCAATCGGGCTCTGCTCTGCCCCATCAATCACCTTTACTTTTCCAAGGGGAGACTTCATAAAGCTTTTGATAACATCACGTGCTCAGTCGGGAGAGCATATATTTCAAAACATGAGGAAGGTCTTTAAGTCTCTGAAACATTAAAATTTTGCTCTTTTACATGGAGTCCTGAAACAACACTGCCCCTGCCTTCCACATCTCTTAATTCTGCCAAAACCGATATCCCTTGTTTGGAAATCGTAAACCATTTTTGACAGTTTTAAAGCCCAGAGATGAACTTTGCAAAAATGAGAAGTGGAGTAGAGTGTGGGGAGGAGGTAAGGAAGGGGAAAGGAAAACCCCAGACTATTTACTTCCAAGTAAAAACACAATCTCAAGAAACATTTATTTTATTTTATGTTTTTACATCTTAAATTTTTAAGAGATTTATAGCTTGCTGTCTGACATGTTAAAAAAAAAGAGAGCCTTGAGATGACTTACAAATAGGGTCAAACATGAATTATATTGCACTGTTTAGAACATATTTTGTGTATTATTATTATTATACATAATGGCATGCAATATATATGGTTAATGATCAGGGATGATGGGAGCTGGAATCCAGCAGCTTCTGGAGGACCTCAGGTTCTCCATCCCTGGTGTCTGGGCACATGTGGAGAGTGGTCATCCTGAGAAGATGGTCAGCTTTTGCTCAGAAGATCATCTTAAACATAGAGTCAAGGCAAATCCTTGTATGCCATGGTTAGAACTACAGGAATGTCATTCATCTAGCATGGAGCAGTCTGAGAATCTGGTGGGCCAGGGCGAAGGGGAGATAGGAAGCTTCCTTATACTGAGCCAGACCATTTGTCCAGCTAGCTCAGTATTGCCTAACAGAGGGACAATAAACAGAGGTTGGATGGCCATCTGTCAGGGATTCTTTAGTTGTGAATCCTGCATTGCAGGGGGTTTGAGTTGAGTTGGGCCTCTTCCAACTGTACACTTCTATGATTATGTCCACAGACTACCAGCAGCTCAAGATTTCAAACAGGACTCTTTGCGTGGCAAGTCCCCCTCCCTCCTTGTGAAATAAAGACACAGGACACTTTATTTAAGGTTAATGGGCGTAAAAGGCCACAACTTTATTGATTACAGGAACTGAGAGGTATTGGCTTAGGCATTGGTTCCTATTAACTACCCAGCTTCAGCCCAATTGCATGAAGACCGGTAAGGGTTAACCACCAGTGGGGGGAGTCCTGCCAAAGCAGCTGGAACGTGGAAGAGAGGAAAGTCCTCGGGTGCGCCAGCCTTAAATGTTCTAGGCCACGCCTCCCAGCCGACGATGACGCGCCCGAGGATTCCCTCACTCTCGTGGGGGCTGCAAGCCAGCCCCTGCGTGCATGGGGAGGGCGTGGGCCCACAACCCCGCCTCCTCTCCAGCTCGGGAGTGGCTTTCTCAGCTCTACTCGGAGATGTCAGAGATTGAACTTTGGGCCATCTGCATTCAAAGCTGATGCTCTTCCACTGAGCTACTGCAATTTCTACACTCTCCTGAAAAGGTTTTGCTTCTCACTTCCTCCCTCCCTCCCTCTCTCCCCTCTCACACACAGAGAGTGCCATGTTGAAGAAGCAAAACGTAGAAAAGCCAGACTATTTCTCTCCCCTCCCTGCCCCCCAGAAACTTCTAGTTCAACCCTATGATTTGCTGTGGCAGCACATTAAGTGCTCAGGACAAGGAGTGCCGATAGTCATGCCAGCACGATGCCACAAAAAACACCATGGCTCTATTCCATCCCTGGCTACATGGATTGTGGAAGCTGACAGGTTGGAAATGGTTTCAGCTGAGGGCCAGGAGGAGCATGACATACCCTCCAACATTTCTCCAAAGAAAATAGGAACATCCCATTCTATAATGATAATTTTACTATTTATACCCCACACATCGTACTGGGTTGCTCCAGCCACTCTGGGCAGCTTCCAAAATATATAAAAACATAATGAAACATTAAACATTAAAAAACTTCCCTATTCAGGATTGCTTTCAAACGGCTTGGGGGCTGGATAATTCCATGCCCTTCAACATTTATCCAATGAAAATAGGGACATCCTAAGGAAAAGTGGGACATTCTAGGATAAAAACAGAAACTGGGATGGCTTGTCTAAATCAGGGGCATCCCTGGAAAATAGGGACACTTGGATGGTCTGGCATGACACTGGGGTCTAAAAAAATGCAAAGTTATTGAGGCAATGCTGGCAAATCTGGGGGTGTTGAGCTTAGAGGGATGGCATAAAAATTAACTAAGGAATAGGTACCTACCAAATTTGCACTTTCTGAAATATGACCCATCTAGTCTCACCACAGAGTTGTCAACCACAGTGTTTGCTCTAGATTTTAAAGGGTCTTTGGGTGAGACACTCTCCTCACCTCACATACTGCCTCAACTCTGCCTTGCCACAGCTTGTATCCTGAACTTGTCTGACCTTGCCTTGATGCACTGCAGAGTATAATGCCAGCGTTTTAACCACTACACCACATTGCCATTGCTTTCTCTTTGAGGTGGCAGCAAACACAATTGCTGTGCACTTAATGGACGTAAGCTAGAGGAGAAGGAAAACCACCTTCCAAATCTCCCAATATGTCCTTGTCTAGAAACCTGGGCAGCAACACTTTAGCGCAACCATAAATAACATGCCCACCTCTAATTTGGCCTCCAATAACAGCTGACCAGCCTTGATTTATCCGCTGACAAAAACAGGCCTCTCTAATTTGCTAACCAATCGCTACCATCCTCTCCTTCCCAACCAATAATTCTGCCATCTCCAATTTTCCAATAAATAATTCTGTGCTCTCAAATTTACCAACCGATAATGTGACCGATCTGATGACCAGTGAGGGTGTCAACTGGTGAGAGAGCCCCTAGGCAAGCAGTAACTTGCTAAGCAGCATTAGGACTTTTAGCAATAAAGAGCTGCGTTGGTCTTCGATTCTGTATCAGTTGTGTGGTTGCTGAGATGCCACTCGAGGCTTCGCTTATTCTGGGAATCTGAAGGGTCCCCATGCATGCCTTGTAAAAAAATAAAGAGCACACGATACGTCTCTCTTTTGGAATATCAGCGGGGAGCTAACACTTCCTCTCTTCATTGCTCCTCCTCCACTGTGTTCCTGCCATCAACCTGGGGTTTGGCAGGGCCTTTGCTTGAGTTCGGACTGTCTGTGTCAGTGACAGAATGATATGTTTCGCCACATCTCTTACCCCACTGACCCCGCCACCCAGGCTGCTCCTGCTGCGGCGAGAGGTTTGGCTCCTGCAAAAAAAAAAAGGGGGGGGGATTCATTTTGGCAAGTCTCATTTCATTTGCGCTTGGAACTGGAGAGAATCAGACCATGACATGTTTTCCTAAAAGAAAAGAACCCCCCTAAGAGGCACTCGTCAGGTAATCAGAGCAATGAATCAATAAATTCATTCATAGCCAATTAAAAATGTGGTGATTCATGATTAGTCAGAGGTTGTGGAAAACAAGTTCTACAAGGCCAGGGGTATTTGCAGAGGAGCAGGGAGGAAGTCCCATGAACAGTTGAAGGAAGTGGGCATCATTATCTCACAGAAAAGAATAGAATTATTCATCATCATACATTTAATTTAATTTAATAATAAAAAATTATACCACTTGACTGGAAAAAAACCCCTCAGAGTGGTTTACAAAGAGATTAAAGCAATAAAATTATTAGTAGAAACAACTCTTTAAAACATTCAAAAGATAAAATCAGCAATGACTGCAAACAGATCAAAACATACAACAGCGTTCTACATGTCTGAGTTGGCTTGTATTAACAAAAATGTTTTTAGCAGGTGACAAAAAGAACACAATGGAGGTGCCTGCCTGTTTCAACAGCTAATAACAAGGAATGTAGGACTGATAATGCCAAGGTTGCAGGTTTGATCCCAGTAAGGGACAGCTGCATGTTCCTGCATTGCAGAGGGGTTAGACTAAAATATCCTGGGGTCCCTTTCCAACTCTATGATTCTATGGTCTGTGCTGGTCAGGGGTACTTCCACCTAATGCTGCAAAAAAAACCATCCAGATATAGGAAATGGGTCATAGGCAATGGTCTTCTCTTCTCTTCTCTTCTCTTCTCTTCTCTTCTCTTCTCTTCTCTTCTCTTCTTACTGGAGTTCTGCCATTAAGCCAAACTGGACTCCCTTTGGGGAGGAAAGACTGGAAAGCTAAAATGAATTAAATGGGACTTACTTCTCATACCCTCCAACATTTTTCTGATGAAATTCTATTTCATAATAATAATAATACCCCACCCATCTGACTTGGGTTGCCCTAGCCACTCTAAGTGGTTTCCAACATACATAAAACCATAATAAAACATTAAACATTTCTAAAAACCTATCTCCTTGGCTTGGGTGTTGCATAACTCAATTCCTTCCAATAGTTCTACAATAAAAATAGGGGAATCCTAAAGAAACCGGGTTGACTTCTGTAAAATTGGGACTGTCTCTGGAAGACAGGGACACTTGATGGGTCTGACTTCTTGGTAGGTCTGGATAGGATTGCAGCCTTTGTGGCTTCTGTAGCATGGTCTGTTGCTGAAACCGTATATATGCAAATCAGAAGATGACAAGCAAAATAGCAGTTTCTTGAAGGCTCCTTAAGGAAGCCAGATCATGTGCAAAAGTTGTGTAGAACTCCACATGGCTCGGGCAACAGGGACTGTGAAAAAAATTAAAATAATGGATGCATGGACAGTGAGACAGGGAAAGCTGACACACATGTAATCCCCCCCCCCTTTTCTTTGCTGGGGCATCAGAGTACTATTGATTTTCCTAAACAAATAGGATACTGCCCACATCCCACTGTGCAGCCCTTGCACAGGCTAATTCTTTTATCCATTCCAAACACAGTCGGTCGATAGCAGTGATCAGGTAAGGTTGTGAAATTGCCAGGAAAACACATCCGCAAAGTAAACCCAATACCGCGCCTTGTCTGTGTGACTTAAAGCTTAGCGCAGCATTGAAAATCACTAATGGAACATACAGAGCGCCGCGTCCATGCTGGGAGCAGTCGAGGATCATGCATAATGGAGGAACACATCTGCTAACAGCCGCTCACACAAGCTAATTTAATCTTACTTTAAAAGGAGACACAAGGAATTAATCTTTGGAGATGTCCCTCTTTGGCCCTCGCTGGCGTCGAGGCAGCCATCCATTTGCACCCACCCTTTCGCCGGGGAGGGCATTTTCCCGAGGAGAAGCTCTCACTTAAACCGTCATCTGCTTATGTGGCTCTGGCCATGTTTAAACTGAAAAATGAACGGGGTCGTACATCATCGAGGGGTCAGAAAAGGCTCCTGCTGCTGAGTCCAATGAAGGAGACGTGTGCTTCACCCACGCAGAAGCGGGGTTGTCTTGGATGGTCATTCTGCGCACAGATCCATGACGTACGCTTAGCTAGGGTGGTGTAGCAATTATTGTGGTTATGTATTTAGGAAAAGGTAAAGGGACCCCTGACCATTAGGTCCAGTCATGGCCGACTCTGGGGTTGTGGCGCTCATCTCGCTTTATTGGCCAAGGGAGCCGGCGTACAGCTTCCAGGTCATGTGGCCAGCATGACTAAGCCGCTTCTGGCGAACCAGAGCAGCGCACAGAAACGCCATTTACCTTCCCACTGGAGCGGTACCTATTTATCTACTTGCACTTGACGTGCTTTCGAACTGCTAGGTTGGCAGGAGCAGGGACCGAGCAACGGGAGCTCACCCCGTCTAGGGGATTCGAACCACCAACCTTCTGATCGGCAAGTCCTAGGCTCTGTGGTTTAACCCACAGCACCACCCGCGCCCCAGTTATGTATTTAGGTTGGTGCTTAAGATGCTTTCCTGGCCCACAGAGCTCCAAAGGGGCACCTTAAGTTAAAAACAAGTAAAAATACAACCATGAAACAAGGAAATAGAAGAACAAGGCAAAAGGAAACCAGGGGTTGCTCCTTGCTGACCCAACCCAAGGAGATGCCAAGATGGAGCGACTCTGGATCCTCTTCTGTGTCGGAGAATGAAAGGATGGCAAAGGGAGGGGGAACGTGAGCTCTCAAGGTCAAGGGCCCGACCGTGGCCACTGTGTGGTGTAGTGATCAGAGTGCTGGGCTGAAACCTGCAAGGCCAGGGTTCAAATCTTCACTCTACCATGGCCAGTCACCCACTCTCAGCCCAACCTACCTCACAGGGTTTTCTTGAGGATAAAATGGGGAGAAAGGTAGAATATAAATGCAATTAAATGTAATTAAAGAAATAAAATGGCAACCTTGGATCCTAGTCTTCTTTAAAGGAATCTGTGAGTGGTGAACTGGGGTGTGTGCGATTGACCCTTTCCCACCAGAAAGATGGTGGAGTTATTTAATTTTCACATCATTGGGTCTGAATTCCCTGAAAATGACCATCTTATTGGTAGTCAAGAAAGAAAATGTAGGGTGTTCACAAGAGGGAAGGGGGGGGGGAGGAAATAGCTCTGCATAAAATTCACATCTGTTAATTT